CTGGTTTTGCATAAGAAGCTACCATAGCAAATACACTCTGTTTGTACAGAAGTACAATTTTTTTTCTTGTTTCTATCCATCAAACATGAGCTCAAGGTGCAAAAGCTAAACAAGCTTACTTGGTACCTGAATTGTGGTTGTTAATAACTAAATTCTGGTTGGGCCGTGGCGGCAGCTGCCTGACCTTACTGCTCACTAAAGGTCTATCAAGCTGGAATTCAGTGAGCTTTGCTGCTCATGCTCAAAAGCAAGTAGAGTTTTGCTCCTGTTTCAGGCCCTCTATTGTTTTTTCCCTGACAGACACAAGTGTGTATGGTAAAGTTGACCACTCATCTGCTCTTTAGTTCTAGCCACCTTGCACATACCTGTCCTTAGGTTGGTGTATTTACTTTTGTTTGAGTGTAGCCTGGATTTCTAATTGATAAAAGGAAAAATAACATAACTCAGGATTTAAAAGAAATATGCTCTGCATTCAATTATACTATTGAATTTGCAATAATAGTTATATAATGTAATATTGTAATAGAATAACAATTATAAAGCTTAAAATCAAAGTGACAGAGGTAGTGCCTTAGTGCTGGCAAAGAGCAGATTGATTTGGTTTTTTCATCTCTTCTTTTGTGTCTCATGAGCAAAAAAAGGACTTCCATTGCAAGATTTATCAGAGTGGCAAGGCCTCAGCAGGACAACAGGGAATTTGGCAGTCAGCCTTTTGTGGGTCAGAATTCTCACAACGTGCATTGTTTGGGCTCTGGTGTCACTATCTGACCATCTGAGTTGCTGTGAGCAGGATTTTTCAGAGGTGGTTTAGCTGCGATTTCTGGGTATGGTCCCGTTCTGTATTTCTCTGGTCATAAAAAGCACAGTGCAAATGGCAGTGTCCCATGAGCATTGTTGTCTCATTACAGCTGCGTGGTTGAGAGTGAGTTCATTTCTGTGAGCTCTCAGGGTTTCCTTAGTGCACTTACTGTTAATATGATAAAAAATGTCTGCAGTAGAGGAGAGCTGTGATTGGTTGATGTGCAGGATGTGCTAATGGGTCATCATTGCTTTGGCTTTCTCTGCAAAAGTTAGGGACTCATTTTCCTGCTGGAGGGACCAGGAAACACAGAAGTCAGAGGGAGGCAATCTGTGGAGGCATCTCGGGGGGATCTGCAGGGCTCTGATGCTTCTTCCTTGCTGCACACGAGGAGTGATGAGTCACCTCTGCTTTTTCCACAGGATCTGTTCCTTTGCTGGCATAAGCTGTTGTTGATGATTTTATTTTATTTTATTTCTCTTTTTATGATGAACCACCAATTGATGGGTTTTGTCACCAGTATAAAGAACCAAACAATACTAATCATTATGCTGTGTTAAGGAAAATCACACAGAGATAAAGTACATTTCAACTGCAGCATCCATTTACAAAGGGTAAAATGCCAATTGAGGAGGCTTTAAATATGGAAAATACCCCTAAAGTAAACTGGGTGTATTAGTAGTGATGGAATGTTGCATACTAAGCAAGGTGCAGTTCCCTACCTCAATTTACCATGTCGCTGCACAAATACTGCCTGTGTGGGGGAAGATGGAACCTTTCTTAGTAGACATCTGCCAGGGTCAGATGTGGTTTGGATTTGTCAGTCTTCCTCTAGCACTGCAATGTGTGACAATATAAACAAGGGAGAAAAATAATTGTGGGCCAGGATATCAAGGTGATTTTTTGAGAAGAAGAATAGACTCTCTTAAAAGAGGGAGGAAGGACAAGAGTGTGTAATGACAAGGGTTAAAAAAAAAAGACGATGTGAGGGATGTGCAGAAATGGAAGGATGAGAGGTTTGAGCTGAAGGGGAGGGGTATGCATTAGCGCAGAGGAAATCTCTCCTCACTGGTATGCAGAGACATTTCCTGCCTTATGTTTTGGTTTCTTAATAGTTATCTGACTATAAAATTAACCTACATCATTTAATGGTAGTTGAATGGCAGCTAAATTAACCCACTTTCAAAATAGAGCTTACCTAGCCCGTCAGCTCTGAGACAGCCTTGTCCCCAGGCATCCAGGGCTGCAATCCACATCTCTGCCTTAACCTATTTCCCAAGCAGCCAGCCAAAGTGGTGCATCAGAAACAGGCTTTGCTGCTCAGCCCAGCAGCTGACAGAGAGCAGGGACATGTATCAAATTCATATTTCACCAGGCATTCCCCTGCAAGCAGGGCTGGCGTTGGCACGTGGGGAGTGCCACCCTCAGGAGTTGTGATACTGTTTCTATTAACAATGTGGCCTTGATTATCTGAGGCCCAATTATCTGAATCTCCAGGTTATCTGAAATGGGGTCATATCCCCCAACATCTGTTAATTACACCCAGGATACCCTCTCCTCTTCAGATGTCTCCTCTGGCCCCTCCCAAGGTTTGGCGACTGGGCTGTGCTGAGTGTGGTTAGCTCTAGTGAGCTACCTAGCTCTACCAAGCTCCTGCATTTGGTTTCTCATGTCCATGTTGAAAAAAAAAACCCAACCTGGATAATTACAGAATTTGAAGTCCTTGAAGACTTCTAGAAGTAGGCAGTAGCTGTGCATGGCAATGTGTCTGTTGGAACTGGGACCAGGAAAGTCTTAGGGGAGGGTGTCCAATGCATTTGAGTTTTCTTCCACCTTTCAGTGTATGTTCAGCTTAGGAGGGGAAGGTGGAATTTCTCTCAGCACAGCCTATCCTTGTCACAAGCCCTCATTACTGCAGATAAGTGCACTTTCAGTGGGAGTTTGCCAGTTGTTGAACTCCTGCAGTTGCAGTGACTCCAGCAGACCTGTGTGTGCATGTCTGAAGTTTGGGGAGAGAGAGCTTTGTCCCCAGGACAGACAGGACTGACTGTGATGGACACAGAGCAGGGGAGAGGCCATACACCTGTGTCACCTCAGGTGCAGAGCCAGTATATCTTGGTGGGATGGTTAAAGATACTCAGGGCATCCCTCTCTACTCCACAGTCCCTGTGGTTCCTTCCCCCTTCTCTTAACTGCGTGCTGCTTTTTATAAAATGTGCAAAGCTGTGAAAATCATTGTTAAGAACTTTTTTTTTTTTTGCCCTGCATGCTTTTGTTATCTTTCTTCTGGTGCTGTCTGTTTTTCTATCTATTCTGGTCTTCTGGTGCTATCTATCCTTTTGGAGCACCTAGCTCAGCAAAGATTCTGGGTACTGCCTCAGAAGGAAACAGTCATGGTAATTTTTTTTTCCTTAAAGGGAAGATCCCAAATGATCTTGATAATTAGAAAAATTAGCAAGGACAATTCTGGAAAGGGTTTGAAAGTTAGTATGTAGAATAGTATTTCCAGCATGATAAATTTCCCTTGGTTTTAAAGCAATAGCTCAGTGGTAAAATTTTTAATTAGTCATTAAATATTATATTAGAAATATTACAATGATGATAAAGTACTATAGAATCCAGTTGGGTTTTGGGGAAGGTGGGAGTCAAGGAAGTTATGTCAGGAATATAAAAATGCAAAACTTATTTCATGCTGCTATTGGTTTTTTTTAATGTAAAACCAGCTTTGGTTTGTTTGACTTCTATTTGGTTACAGGTGGGGAGAAGTGATTTATAATGTTAAACTAGTTTAAAAATAAATAAACAAATAAAAGACACTACTCTGAAGGGTTAAAAGTGTGAATCTATAATGGATGACTGTTACTTGTCCAGTCACTTGGCTGATTGTACAACCTGGATATGTCGATGAATACATGCAGCTGACAAAAAAACCCAGCCAAACAAAACCCACCTATAACTTGTTTCTTCCTGCTTTTCAGTTGAAATACAAGCTCAGTCCATCCCCAAGTGTGTCACCAAGGACGGAGTAAATTCTGGGGCCTTGAGAACCTGGCAGCAATATTTCCATAGTTATTTTGGCTGTGCTTTGCTTTCAGCTTTTAATTTAGATAAGGAGAGTGCTTTTTCTCCTTCCTAGCTGTTATGTGGAGCCACGGCTCTTTGCATGCTGCTTTTCTATTTTTTTTCAGTGCAGTGAGGGAGAATTACTGTAGCACCCACAGAGGTGTGAAGGGACTCATTCATCTGTGTGGGGAGTGTGAGGTGCCAGGCATATTTCTGAGGATTGAAATACAGGCATTTAAACTGGTGCATCCAGTGTCAGCCTTTTAATTGGGGCTTTGAAAGATGAGCTCCAGAAAATCTTGCTTCAGTGGCTTACACTGTTCGTGCCCATGGCTGGTTTGCCCATCCCCTTCAAGGGGACATCCAGTCTGCCAGCAGAAGGAAGCACATCCTGCACCTCTCAAGGCACGAGGTCTGTGCTGCAGCTATGAGTGGAGATGGGTTTGAGCACAGTCAGATGGTCCCATGCCTTTCCCAGCATGTTTGCTTTTGCATGGCCATTCCAACAAGCTGAACTGGGACTGGCAGAGAGCCCATTTCCCCCTTCTGCTGGGTAAGATCTCTGCATGCAGCCCTCCAGCACAGGCAAAGCAAGCCTGTCCTTGGGAAGCCACAGCACAGCCCCTTCCAAGTGCACGCTTGGCACGTGCCCCTGGGGCTGGGCTCAGCTCACCTGACTGCCAGCAGTGAGCAGGTCCCCTTTAAGAGGCTGTTCTTCCTTTGCAACCCTTCAAAAAGGCATTTCCACTCACCCTGAAAAATAAATTAAGTGGCTGAAAACAGCAGGGCTGGAGGTGCCACCCAAGGGCAGTGAGATGCTGCCTCAGAGCTTGGGCTCACAGTGGGCATGGCCAGTGCTTTGAGTTCAGCTGATGGAGGGCACTGCTCACCAGTCAGGCTTTCTTCTTAGTCATCCACATTTCTCAAATCTCTGCTTTTAGTCACGTTTCCAAGATACCTTTCAGCCTGGTGGGGTACTCAAGGGGTACCTCTGGTTTTGGGGGGTGCAAGGCACCTCTCTGCCAACTGGCATGAGTCAGCTGCCTGGCAGCAAGAGAGGGAGGGGAAAGGTCATCCCTGTAAAAATACTGAATTGGATTTTATAAGTTTATAGCTATGTTTTGTTTCTTTTACAGAACTATAATCCTGGTGCTTAGAGTGGTCTGAAAGGAACAGAAACACTTAGCCTTGAACTTTTGTTCTGCTGCTGCTTCTTGTGCCTCTGAGGTACAAAACATACCTGTAAACTTATAATCAATCAAGCTGTTGTTCAAGGGCCAAAAAAGGAAACATAAAAAGGGTACAGGCTTCAAGTTTAATAGTGAAAAACTTGGGTTAGACAAGCCAGAAGATTGCAGTTGGCAATTGACAGGTTTTCGGAGACTGGCTTCCCAGGTAGGTTGGTATGAACCAGCTGATTTCTTTCTCCCTTTCTTTCCTCCCCTCTTGCTCCCTGCCCAAATACACTGTAGAACCAGAGGCAGGCTGGGCTGCCCCTAAAACTTTTTTTATGGCATTCACAAGCAGAGCAAACACAGCATCACCCTCGTACAACAGGAAGAAATATGACAACTCCACCAGTGGGCTGGGGGCACTGCAGGAGCTGGGAAAAGCTCCTCAGGCTGTGTAGGGAGAAACAGATAACTTGGCCTTTCCTCTCCATGCTGTAAATGCTCTATCTGTGCAGCCTATAGGTGTTAGGGACTGACAAACCTCTGCCTTCCCCCAGCCCCTTCATCCCCAACCGCGTGGCCTTTGTTGGAAGCCCCAGGTCCCCTCCAGCAAGAGCTGGGGGAGGGTTGACTTTAAACTCCACTAAACAGTGGAGGCACAATGCAAACAAATGTATTGCAGCACGCAGCTATGCAAATAGCTCCAGAGCGCAGCACGTTTCCCCAGCATTAATTGCTGCACCACCGGGGTTGCGTAGCAACAGCTCCGCTTGTGCCTCTGACAGCTCCTGCCCCTTGATGCCTCTGACACCTTCTGTGGCAGGCAGGCAAGGCGAAGAGAGCAGGGCTGCCCTGGGAAATCAAGAAGGGCTGGGAGGCAGTGAGGGGCTCTGGTGATAAAATTCACTTGGGGCACTGGGGCTGTGTGCTGCTGTCCCAGGGTAGTGTGTGTGGTGGGGCTGGAAGGAGGGTGTGGAGCACAGGAACAGAGGACATCCTGCAGCTGCAGCCTTGAGAAGGCAGCATTCGAGGCTGGTGGGCAGAAAGGGCAGATCTGCCATGTCCCAGGCTCTGCAGGCAGCCTCACTGACTGGTGGGCTGTCTCTCCCACTGCAGTCAATCCTTCTGGAGACCCCACACAGGTTTCTGACTGCACCTACCGCTTGGCTAGAGGCATAGAGGGTCCCCAGATTGTCTCTCACTGGTTGTGAATCTCCTTTTGACTTGTGGCTTTTCCAGCCCTTGAGAGACATGGCTCATTGCTCATGCACACCCAATCCTAGGAGAGCCCTGTGGGAAAGGGTGAGGACAGGCACCAAGGAGAAGGCTGTGGGTGGGATGGGCAGCCCTGGGCACCTTCGCTGGTCTTTCCAGTCCAGCAGCTTCTGTGGGGCTGGCCTGTATCTCCTGGAAGGCAGGACTATGCCTGCCTGTCTCTTCAGAGGCAGGACTGGTTGCCTCCTGAGAGTAATTTTTCCTCCTGTTCGAAACCATGTTCCCAATTCCCATCCTCTGTGCTTACCAGTGAGTCTTCAGCTCCTGTTGTGCTTTTGCCGGGCTGAGGAACATGTTTGCACCCGGCACCTTTCCCTGGAAAGACGCTTCAGTTCTGCAGTCAGCTCACCTCTCCTCTATTCTGATAAGCCACATTAAAAAAATCGTTTCTCTGCAACAGTTTGTACTGTCCATAAGCAACTCTGCTTGAAAATGTGGGGCACTTGGTGTAACTCTGCTCTTACATGTGAGCCAGAAACAAGCTCTTCTCCAAAACTGGTTTAAGTAGGGAGCATGTGGGCAATCTACATCCATCAGCTGCCTCAAAAGAGAATGCCCATGGGCATGTTTTACTTATTAGTGGTAGCCAGAACACTTATTAGTGATAGCCAGAACACCAGCCAGGACAGGTACCAAGAACACCAGCTGGATAGGTACCAAGGCACACAGATTAGCAGGCCCCAGGGAGCACAGAACTCTGTGTGTCTGGGAGATCTGGGGATGGTGAGGCACAGGCTGCAGCTCAGCACATTTGGGGGCACAGGGAGAGAGGAAGGACAGAGCTGGGACCTAGGCACCCTCAGAGCCTTTTCACCACAGGTGGCAGTGAAAGCTCTGCCCCAGGGTTATCCTTAGACACCCAGAATAAGGTGATGCTGCCTGCAGTACCCAAGCAGGGATGGACTGGAGAAGGAGCAGATGAGCTCAAGGTGAGGAGTTGCAGCCTTTCTTTGAGCTGAAGTGGCGTGACACCAGAGGACCCTGAACACAATGTGCCAGGTGAACAGTGTCACTGAGTTCAAGATGGGTCTTCTAAGTAGAAAGGGCATCAAAACTGAATGGATTTATTTCCTTTATCAAGCAGGAAAAATGTTTATCTCTGTTTTTTTAAAATTTATATCTTGACAAGCTCTGTGTATCTCTGATTGTCTCCCTGGAGTACAGTAGGGCAAATAAGGTGACAGTGAGCACGAAGGGCTCAGTCACACTTCAGAGGAAGAAACTGGGTGAAAGGCAAGGCAGAAATGCTGCTGGAACCTTCAGGATCAGGAAGCCAAGGTCCCCTCTGCCATACAAGCTGTGCAAAGCAGGAATCACCTGCAGCTGGCTGTGCTCAGCATCACAGCTGCAAGGCAGGAAAGGACAGTGCCCAGCCATTTTGGTCCCTTCTCCCACACCAGGGGCTCTGCACACAGGTTTGCAGCCTCCTCCTCACCAGGGTGCACCCAGCCTTTCCTTTCCTTTCTTGCCACCCACCTGGGCAGTCACTTTGCCTGTGCCATGGATTCTTCCTTCACAGCCATGGAGAGCAGCACCCGAGGGTGCCCCAGCAAGGAGTGAGATGGCTGTTTTGCCACCATAACCCCTTCCTGCAGCTGCCCAGGCAGCATGGCACTGGGGGGGCCAGGGCAGGGCCCCACCTCTGCTGCTGTTGTTAGAAATTCAGTCTGCCCTGGGGAAGATGGCTGCTTCTCTTGAGAGCTGGGCTTGTGAGTAGGTAAGAGGAGTCACCGCCCTCTTTGCAAAGGTGGAAAAAAGATTACGCTGAGCTCTGCCTCTTCAAAAAACCCCCTGCTCCAAGCCCAGGGGGGTTGAAAGGTTTTTTTATCCCCTTTTGTTATTCAGCAGAGCGAGGGGAGGAGCTGGGCCGTGTAAGAGATCCTGGCTGACATAACCCTTCCCATGCAGGGCTCTGGAGAGGGGCCAGGTTGTACCTGGGTATTTTTATTTAAACTAATCCCAGGCGTTCCAAATTGAAAGCCATCGCAGCGCCAGGTAGGACCAGGTCAAACGGTTGCTGGAGGGCGTTTTTCTCACCTGGGTGTAGTAAAGCAGTCGCCAGGTACGTGTTTATTGCTAACCCCGCGAGTGTGTTCTGGAGGTGTTGGGACACATTTGGCAAGCTGAGCTGGCTCAGCCTTTCCGGGTGGTTTCAGGAAAACCCTGCCTAAGAAGCCTTTAAGGAAATTGAAAGGCTGGGCTTGGGAGGCAAAGCCTCATTCCGTGTAAAACACGTTGTGCCTGGGCAGACTGGAGAGCAAAGGGCTGGGCAGAGCTGCTCAGGGCAGGCTTGGCTGCAGCCTGGCATTTCTGGGCAGAGAGGAGACCTGGTCAGCCCTGAGCCTGAAGTGGCCCCAGGTGTCTCCCCCTGCCCATCAGCCCAGGGAGTCAGGGCACTGGAGGTGCCTCCCTGGTGCGTGTCAGTTCAAAGAAAGCAGCCAGCCAGCAGCAGGTAAGGAGTAGGTGAGGGCTGCCCAGGGCAGGCTCCGGTGTGCTGATGCCACTGAGAGCGGCTGGCCCCAGCCACTGGCTTTTGCTTGTCCATTTCTCTGCTGATGGCTCCTTCAAACTGGAGCTCTTCCTCCTCATCCACCTGTTAAGCCCTGTGCCTGGCAGCATGGAGAGGGAAAACCCACTCTAGATGAAGCTGCTTTTCTCCACCCTGGCCCTGAACTCTTTGATAAGCGTTGCCCCCCTTGACCCAGCTGAGTGAGTGAGGTCAGTGTCTGATGCTGGTGGAGGGGGCAGGCAGAGAAAGGCTGCAGGGGGAGAAAGGACTTTCACTCCTCCAGTACAAGGCCAGGAGGTGCAAAGTGCAAGTGTTGCTGCAAAGCAACCCTACATTACTGGTAAAGATCCCGTGTCAGACAGTGTGGGTGCCAAGTGTGGGTGCCAAGACGTGGTCCCCTTTCAGCGTGGCCAGGACTGGGTGGGAGTTCCCTGTGCTGCCGTTGGGAACAGATATGGTCTCAATAACAGCACCTGGCATGGCACTCGTCATGGGTTCATGAAAACACTGGGTAATTATCCCCTAACCTCTCCACCAGTAAGTCCTAATTAATTGCCTCTGCCAAGCAGGTAACTGATAATGGCCTGGGTTTGAGCGCTAGCTAGCTAGCGGCAGTGACCCTGTGCTGTAGAAGCCCACCTTTCTGCACAACCAGTGTGTGCTGACAGCCCATCAGCTGCAGCAACACTTGATTAAATGGCAGCTAATCAAAGGTCAGTGCCAGTGGCACAACGCCACACAGGGTGCATTGCTGCCTGCATGTCCTGCAGGCTGGGAGCTCACCAGAATTTTTGTGCTGACTACAGAAGAGGTTCAGATCTGCTCAGTTTGGCCCCAGACCCAGCTTCTGCTACTGAGGTGTAAGCAGGATTTTAAGACTTAAAGTAGCTGAAGATTCCTGGCATCTGGATGCCCAGCTGGGATGCTGCTCTGCTCCCACCCAGCTTGGCAGTGCAGAGTGAGGAAGCGGAGGTATGCAGCCATCCTAGAAATGCTGGGCCTTCCACACCAGGTGCCATGCAGATACTAAGCCTGATTCTTTTTAGGTTTGCTTTGAGCATGTGACATGGTGCCTACACACTGGGATGTCCTAGGCAGAAGTGTAATTATGAGTGCTCTGGCAGTGGCAGACAAACAAAAATGCAGTCTGTGTCCTGCCAGCAGTGTACACATGTAAGTGTGCATGCTGGGACTGAAGGAACACCTGCCAGGATGCTTGATCTTACCTGGAGGTCAGGCAAGGGATGTGCCTGACTGGGAGGAGAAGGGTTATTCTGGTTTTGCAGCATAAACTAATATTCCCTAGGACATATTACTGACTGGTTCTCTCTTTATCTCTCTAGTGAGGATCCAGCAGAGACAATAGCAATAGACTCTAACAATCAGCCGAAGTCTCCACTGGAAAAATTTATGGTCAGACTGTGTACACATCACCAGAAGCAGTTCATTCGTGTGCTAAACGACATATACACTGAAGTACAGCCAGACTCTGACGGCCAGCAGTTATCTGAATCTGAGAGCATGGAGGCCTCTACTTGTGGCTCTGGTTGTAGCCAGCGAAGCACTGAAAATCAGGATAAGGGTGCTACTTGTACTGAATCAAAGCTCCCTTCTCCATTGGACCCAGGACAGTCAGGGGCCGACAGCCCCCTGCATGTTACGGGACAAGCCCCGAAGCAGCCAGTGGAACTGAAGTCTCTGGACAGAGCAGAGAACTCCAGTCCTGCTTTGAGGAGGGACTTCTGCGAGCTCCCCATCACCAGGCTTCGCTCTGCTAGTCCAAAGGATAGCCCCACCCAAGGATACCTCAGCACGTTGAACTCTTCCTCTTTGAATTTCCATCACGCCGCAAAGAGCCTGGAAGGGCAGCAAGCTGCTGGACACGAACAAGAAGCCGCTGTCAGGAAGTGTGAGGATAATAAAGAGCAGCTAGCAGGTAAGACTCTCATGGAAGGTTATATCTCAGTCAAAGTGGCAAATGTGAATGGCAGTGAGGACAGCTTAGACAGCTGTCTGGGGTCCCAAAAGAGCTCTTGTAGGGCTCTCCCAGAGGAGTCCTGGGATCCTGGCTTTGCAGTGACGCCCCCTCGCAGAGCCGACAAAGAGAACACTTTGCAATGCGGCTCGAAAGCATCTTTGCACCAGGACTTAGATGCAAAAGAACAAGACGTGAGACCAAAGCAAGAAAACCACCTGCATGCCATGGCCAAGGGCAAGGCAGGCTGCCAGCTGCACCCAGCCGACAAGGGCATGCTCGACAAGTCCAAAGAGGGCTGGCTGCCCACTGGCGCCATGCCAGCCGCCCACCGCCCCCCTGGTGGGCACCCCCGTGCCAAGGCAGCCTCCCTCAGGCCCTCTCGGAAGAGCAAGAAGGCGTCAGGGCTGAGGATCAATGACTATGACAACCAGTGCGACGTGGTGTACATCAGCCAGCCCATCACCGAGTGCCATTTCGAGGCGCAGCGCCTGGTGTCGTCCCGCAGGACGGCCAGGAAGAGCACGCGGGGCTATTTCTTCAACGGGGAGTGCTGCGAGCTCCCCACCGTGCGCACGCTGGTGAAGAGCTCCCGCGCCGAGGAGAGGGCGAGCAGCCCGGCACTGCGGACAGAGACCCTCGTAAGTGCAAAACCACCCCTGGTGTTCTCGGTGGAGGGGTCTGCAGGGGCAGGAAGGGAGGGTGAGAAAAGGGTTTCCCTGAGGCTCCTGGCTAAAGTGGCACCAGCCGGCCGAGAAACGAAGGAGAGAGCTGAGCTGGGCTCCATGCAGCTCCGGGAAACCCGAGCACTACGATCAAGGGAGGCTGCTGTGGCCATGCCATTCTTCTCCCTCTCTGCTCCACCCAGCCCCCAGAAAGAGGACAGCTTGGCCAGCTCGCCACCACCTGGCTCCCCTCCTGCTGAAGGAGGGGAGTCATCTCCCCTCAGTGCCACAGTGGGAGGCACTGTCACCTGGGAGGCTGGCAGTAGCCTGGGCTGCTCTGGGGATGGCAGCAGCAGCAGCCAGGCTGCTGATGTTGCTGCCTTTTCAGTCTCAAAAGCACACGGTGAGGAGGAAAGTTGTCCAGGCTCTGACATACAAACTATTCCAGACCCCCCTGCCAGTCCAGAGCCAAAGTCCTCCTCACAGCCCTCTGCTGCTACAGACACAACGCCTCTGCCCTGTGATGGTGCCAGGGATCCTGCCCAGCTTCCAGGCTCAGGGGATGCTGAGCTCTGTGGGCAGTGTCTGGCAGAGCCCTCCGCATGCTCTCCAGGCTCACAGGCTCCTGATGAGCCCCCTGCCACCATGGATGAGAAGAGCCCCCTGGAGCCCCCTGCCACCATGGATGAGAAGAACCCCCTGGAGCCCCCTGCCACTTTAGAGTGTGGGGATGTGAACAAAAGCATCGATGCTAAACCAGAAGCTGAATCATTGGTCATGGTGGGTGACAGCCCTCTTGAGCAAGAGGATGCTGTGCTCATCAGCACACCCCTCCCCGAAATCTTGGAAGTAGAAACAATGCAGAATAATAGCACAGCAGGTGAAAAAGAGCCCACTGAAGGGGAAATGCCACCCGACCCAAACAGCTCAGACTCTGTCTCTTCCAAAGACTGTCTAGACAAGAAGCGGAAGAAAGGCAGGAGGGCGCTAGTGGCATCGGACCGGTGTCTCCGAAGCCAACGATCCCCATCACCTGCTGAGGGCAGTGCTGAGGACTCTGGTTCTTCCAGCTCTGGGCAGCTTACTTGCCTTCAGATCAAACTCTCCAAGAGCCCTGGTGCTAAGCGCTTCAAGAGAGAAGTGCAGCTGGATGAGGCAGCATCCAGGCACTTCCCCAATGACTGCTTCCCCAATGTGCTGCTCAAAACCAGCGAAGAGCCAGGCACTGGCCAGGCTCCAGAGAGCATCACTGAGCAGCAGCCAGGCAAGGAGAATGGTGTCACTACCAGACAAACCTATAAAAGCATCTTAGCAAAAGAGACTGCTGCAGAGGGAGAAAATTCCTCTAAAGATGACTCCTCTGCTAGCAGCAGCCAAAGTCAACAGGGTGAGATGCTGGAAATCAGCATCCAGGCTGATTCTGAGAAGAAAAACATTACCCTCCCTCCAGAGAATACTGTTCCTGCAAATGATGCTGAGCAAGTGGATGTGAAACCAGTCAATGCCAGTGCAAAGGACAAGGAGAGCTCTGAGAGTGTCAGGGATCTGGGCAAGCCAGTGAACTATGAACTGGTGACCAATTTGCCTCTGTGTCCCAGCAGCAGAGGTGGAAGCAAGCATCTTCCAGCAAAAACTGCAAAGCACAAAAATGTTGCTCTGCAGTTTTATAACTTACGACATGCACCCGCACCTGTAGACAGTGCAAAAAAGAACACACCAGGGAAGGAGTCTATGCAAGCAATCCCCAAACTGAGGGATGAACACAGTTCAGGGAATGATGACTGCCCAGCACTGGAGGACATAGACATGGCTGACAGCAAACCAAAGTTCATGGAGTGGTGTGCTGAAGAGGAAAACCAGGAGCTCATTGCTGACTTCAACACTCAGTACATGAAAATCCAGAAGGGCTGGATTCAGCTGGAGAAGGAGGTCCAGCCAACCCCCAAGGTAAAGAACAAAGCCGACAAACTGAAAGAGATTTGGAAAAGCAAGAAAAGAACACGGAAAAGCAGAGGCTCACTGGAAGTGCAGAAGCTTTCTCCTGTGCAGATGCTGTTTATGAAGGCCTTTAAGCTGTCTGACATATGCCAGTGGTTTTTGGAGACAACTGAGACCAGGTCTCTAGTGATTGTGAAAAAACTCAACACCCGTCTCCCGGGGGAGATTCCCCCCATGAAAGTCCCCATGCAGAAATATTCTTCCTCTAGTCTCTACCCCAGCTCACTACAAGCTGAACGTTTGAAAAAACATCTCAAGAAATTCGCCGCCACTACCCCGGCTCGGAATAACCTGAAGAACCAAAAGCTTTGGGCCAAAATTCGTGAGAATGCGGATAAAGCAGAGGTTGAAGAAGCCACCGCTCCCAGCCAGACGTCTCCCACTGATGCCAGCACCAAGGAGCTGAGTGAGGACAAAACCATCCCGCCAGCCCTCAGCTTGCCCACGCAGGCCAGCACCAGGATCCTGCGCAAGTACTCCAATCTTCGGGGCAAGCTGCGAGCCCAGCAGCGCGTGGTGAAGGCAGAGAAGCGGAGCGAGTGCCCAGGGGACCAGCTGTCCCTGGAGAGCAAGCAGAGCCGGAAAAGTGTGTGCATCAACCCCCTGATGTCTCCAAAGCTGGCCTTGCAGATCAAAGCAGCTGCCTTTCCTGCTAAATCTCCCTCAGTGGATGGAACGGGGAAGGGGCGAAAGGGGAAGAGCAGGTCCCAAGAGGATCCCTCGCCCAAAGTCGACCTCCAGCTCAGCAAGAAGAAGAAGATGCTGAAGGAGAGCGGGAGCACCCAGGAGCGATCCAGCTCTTCCACCAAGGACAAGCTGCCTGCCAAGAAGGCCAGTAAAATAAAGCATTCAGAGGGCAGTGTGAAATCTCCCACCACCCGAAAGCAGACTGCCATGGAGAGGAGCAATAAGCTGACCAGAAAAATTTCTTTGAAAGAGAAGAGAGTCCCGAAAAAGCAGCTGGAGAAGCGGCTCCCCATGCGGAAGGGCAAGGAGAACACGAGCAGACGGGCCGTGCTCCCTCCCAGTCACGAGGAGCTGTCCAAGGCCCCAAAACAGAAGCCCCTGGGGGAGTCCTCCACACGGTCACAGAAGATGGCCAACAAGAAGCACAGCAGTGGGAAGACCTTGACAAGGTCCATGAAGAAGATGCAGGAGAGCAGTGTGTCTCAGGGCAAGAGGAAGCTAAGGGCAAAAGTGGACTGTTCACACAGCAAACGCTCGCGACTCGACCCGAAATAGCAAAGAAACGGTAGCCATGTACAAAACTGATGTATAGTAGTAACCCTTTACCATGCATTAACTAAAGCTGCTTTTATAAGCTGTAGCAAGCCTTTAAAAATCCGCAGTTAAAGGATAAATACCCATGATTTTAGGCATCAGCAGATGTGTCTTGGACAGAGAAGAGGTTGGTCTGTCTGGCTCTGCTGTTCAGAAGGAAGTTTGTGTAGTTTGAACGTTCCTTGGGTTCTTTTAAACTTAGAACCAGGCAGTTTTTGTTAAAAGTACAGTGCCTTATTTATCACTTTAAAAATAAAAATAAGAAGCTCGTCTGTGTGATTTGGAGGCTTGCGTTTTATACTTGAGGCACAAGCACTTGTACTGTAGCAGAAAGAAACCACCTTCGTGCACATGAAGTAGCTTTTGTCAGCCTTTGGGTGCACACAAACATTTCCCTTTCTTTCAGAGTCCTCCTTCTGTCTGTCTTCTTAGTGGCATTTAAAGCAAAACCAAAACCATTTCGCATCACTAAGGGAGAGAAAGGCGAGTCTGTCCATTGTCGGTTCGCTGGTAGCAGTTGCTGGTGTCCCAGACTGTCACCTGCATGAGAATGTGAAGTAGCTGCTGGAGTTGTACTGCTGATGGCTGCCTGCTCCTCACTGCGCACCCGTGGGTGGGGAGGGCCCACTCAGGCTGGGGAGATGCCCTGGGGGTGCAGGTACCAGGCTGCCACACCTGCTGCTGCCGGCTGGGCAGGCTGGGCTGTATCTGTCTATTTTCTTGCTGGCTTCAGGGATGAACCGGTCTTGCCATGCTCTGCTTTTGGACAGACTTCCTTCTCCTAATTCCCTGTCCTTGTGGTGATTTCTGTGGTCTCTGTTGGCAAAGCTTTTTTGTAGTGCTTCACTGAAGGTTGAATCTCTCCCTTTTTAAGGGCTTGAGTTCCTGATGTTGGTGCTCTGCAGGAAGGGAACTCTGGCCCTCACCTTATGCTTTTGTGCACGCCTTGCCTAGTGCTCTCTGAAGCCAGGATTTGCAGTTGAAATAAGGCTGGGATAAGGGACTGGCTTGTGTTAATTTTTTACCATAATTTGCATTTCACCCTTTTACCAGCAAGGTGCAGGAGGTTTGTCCTTGCTTGTGTCACAGAACAGGGTCATAGTGCCTGTCTTTTCTTAGAAAAAATTGTTAGAAGTGCATAGAGTGTGTGGCTGTGCTGGTTCTGCTGGGCAGAGATGATCAGCAGCTAGGGAGGGCTGTGGTCTGTGCTAGGGAAAGGTCCCTGCTCAACCATTGCATCCCCAAGGCTTCACTTTCACATTGCTGCAGAGTCCATTTGCAGGAATCCCAATGCCAGTCTCCTTCCAGACACAAAGCAGCAGTGCCTGTCAGGGCACTGTGTGGACCCTGAGGCTGCCAGACCTTTAACAGCTGCCTTGCTGGTCCTTGCTCAGCTGCTTGTCCCTGATGAGAGCAAGGCTCTGGTGCAGCCCATGAATTCAAGAGATGCTGGCCCCTGGAGCAGAGGCTGAAAAGGGATTGCCTGCAAAGGGAATTGCTTTTCGTGGTTGGCATTGAACCCCAGATCTCAAAGCCTGGGGGCGGGAGGTGAAAGGTAGATAACTGTATTAAAATCTTTCATTGTACCCCTTTAGTACAGAGGATGAAACCAGGTGTTTGATTTGCACTCACTTCACAGAGCACCTCTGGCTCTCTTGGAGGTACTCCCTTTCCCAAGCATTGAGACTCACAATGCTGCGGCACATTTTTCTCTTTACTGTGAAATGGCTGATTTAAAAAAAAAAAATCCTCTGCCTTTCCTTTGAATTGTGCTAGAGTAAGTTAACTCTCTGAACAGGTAGGAAGTGATTAAATCTAGCCTGTCAGTCCCTGTACAGATTAATATGAAGCTATCTATTACTTTAATTTTTACTGCATGCATTAAATATGTCAAACATTCCATCAGAAAATATTTAAAAGCGTTTCAAGAGAGGTGTAAGGCAGGAGGGCACTGATGGCAGTTAAGTGACTGATCTGTACCTCTTTTGCAGGGTGTCTTTCCCTCTTGCTTCTCCATCCTTCCTTATGGTCCTTCTCCAGCCTCTGGCTGGGGCCCAGCCACATGGGCCCAGATTTCCTCTCCTTGCCCTGGGCCAGGCGTACATGTGAGCACACCTCTTACCTTTGCTGCTCACGCCATTCCCCTGTAGCAAATCCCCTCTTCCCGTCCTTCACCATCACTCCTGAAGTGCCTGCACAGGTCACCATGCACCTCCTTGAGGCTTTCCCTCTCTCTTCTCTCATTTTTTAGCTGCTGGTAAATGGTAAATACAGGCTGTCCTGCTCCCTGTCTTCTGTGCTTCTGGGAGCAGGAGTCACGTTAGGATAGAACCCTATACATAGCAAGTGGAAAGACTCTTTCTAGATGGGATGCTGCTGCTCCAGTGTCCTGGATGTCTTCCTGCACCCTGGGGCTTCACCAGCACCGACTGGCTGAAGCATGGCAAGGCTGGGGGACAGCAGGTGCCATTGGTGCTGGAGTGGAGCAGCTTCTGGGCATCTGTCCCAGCTCAGTGTGCACGGCTTGGCTCAGGCAGGGTGGGATCAGAGCACTGAGCTTCCTGGCAGTGTCCCTGACAGGCAGGGGTGACGTGTGCTCTGAGGCACAGCCCCTGCTTCAGAGCAGTCTGTTACCAATAAATGTGGCTCTTACATCAAGCAAGGGATGCACAGGGAGCTGCAGATGAGCTTAATGAATGGAAGAAAATAAGCTACATGATTGAGTACCGTATTCCACATGGACATGGAGTGTGTTTCCATGTGCTACAGGCGCAGAGCTGCCCACTGGCACTACCACAGTGCCATCCTCAGATCCACAGCCTCATTGCGCTCCTCTTCCCCTGGGCTACCCCACAGCTCCCTGCTCTGCTTCTTCAGCTCTGGATTTCAAGAGATACAACCCACAAAGCAGATCTCTTTCTGTTACTTTGGCTTTTCTTGCTGGCTACTTTCTCATCCTATTGAAATTAGTCTCCATCATGCACCCTGGTCCATGAACGAGGAGCAGCATCCTCTTAGCTCTGCACCTCCACAGATGTCCTCACTGTCCCTCTGCTGCCACCCCCCTCCCTCTCAGTTGCATGATTACCTTATTCTCTCTCTTGTCATCAGCAGCTCTGGGTCTTCACACTTCACATGTTCAGAATCCGTCCATTTTAATAAAAAACCACTGAGAGGAGCTCTGTTTGCCAAGCTCAGAGTAGAAACTTATGTTGGTGCTGTAGCAAGAGCAGTTTGAGCCCGGGATGGCTCCTCCTACCTGTAGCTGTTAGGATCTTGTTAAGCAAGGCCAGCCCTGGAATGGGTTTCCCTGCTGACAGGGTGTGTGATATGTACCCAAGGTGTGCACATATTTATATTCATCACTTACTCATCCCTGGCAAGGTCCTGTTTGCTGGTGTTCTCTCTGTGCAGTGGGGTTTCTGTAGTCACCTGCCAGCAAGTCAGGGAGACAGATCTGCAGCAAAACTCTGAAGAGCTGACCAGTTGGCGCTGATGCTTCTGACAGACTTTCTGCTGCATTGCTGATCAAGGTCCATGAGTTGTGAGAGCAGGATGAAACTGTTCCTGCTGCTCTCTGCACCCTGTCCCGTCAGTGCTGGGGGTGCCACGCAGGGCTGGACTGAGCGGGCTGGCTGGCTGCCCACACCACTTTCTGCTGGTGTGCAGATGAGCAAAGCTGCAGCCCAGCCCGTGTCCCAGCTGGTCTTGTGGCACCTCTGGAAATGCTGATGTTTCCAAAAGCTCTGCCAGCTCCCAGGAAATGGACATGCAATCAGATATACTGGTGCCCTGTTTTTAAGATTTGCTGATGGACACTTTTTCTCTCCAGCTCATAAACTTTCAGCCTGACAACTGCATTCCCAGTTGAAGGTGACTGAGAAAGCTGTGATTCCCAGCCTTCCATGGGTACAGGTATTGCTTTGGGCATCATGGAGGTGTGGGTGGCCATGCAGGTTGGGCTCTCACCTTTCCACCATCAGCAGTCATGCCGGGGGAAGAGGGCTGAGCCCCAGCCAAGGTGTACTTGGGTCTGCATCCTTGGGCTGTTTGCCTGGACAGCCCAGGAGCAAGACGGGGATAGGCTCCTCCTTGACAGGGAATGCCACTGGAGGTTTTCTTGTAGCAGTAGGTTTTTTGAGCAAACCACGAGGCTATGATGTCCCCATGTCACGTGTGTTCCCCCCCGTGTGTCGTAGCATCCATTTGGCCCATCCTTCAGCTTGGTGGTTGTGAAATGAATCCATCTGTTCTAAGATGTTCTCAGGAGTTCTTGTTTGTATTAAGCTCACCCCTAGGCTTAGCAGAAATGACAGTCCCCATCCTCCCTGCTCCCCTCCCCGCAGACAGGCCCTCTCTCTCATGAGCACTTCCACCTTCTCCCCGAAGGGCAGCAGAGGGCAGCTGGCGGTTTTGATTCAGGGCACGTTGGCAGCTTTGGGGCAGCCGAAGGAGCTGGGATGCAGCCGGCCAGCATTTGTGACATGGGTCTGGAGGCCAGGCGGTCCCACGGGCTGTATTGCTAGCCAATGTTTTCTAAGTCTGTTTGTAAGAGTACCTAATTTTAAAATGAAATGTGAATATATATTATGTGTAGGTGCCATGTAAGATAGTGTTGTGCTAGGCAGCAGGATGCTAACCTACTTTTTAAGCTTTTTGGAGGCAGGAAAAAGCATTTTTCTCTCACTTCATGCTCACAGATCTAATATTGTAAATAGGTTTTTTAAATATTTATTTCATGGGCTTTCCACAGGTTCTCGTTCTGACTGGTGTGTGGCGGGTGGGGCTACATTGCCCAGCGTGCCCAACCAAAGGGCTGGCGATGGCGTGGGGTCTGGGATGGGGCGGGGTGGGGTGGTGGTGGTGCTGTTCAGTTTGGGTTTTTGTCAGAGCTGAAGCATTAATTCTCTTCATCTCGTTTTGATGATGTCAGACCTGGTCGATGGCCACGGTCCCCAGGGAGGCTGTGAGCTCCCATGGCCGGCCAGGATGGCTGTTCCCCAGGACAGGGGGCACTGCAAGCAATAAGATTTGTAGTAATAATGTCTGCTGTGATGGCAGGGGCTCTCGGGGCTCAGGGCCAGGTGGGAATAACCCTGCTCCCGGCAGGGGCTCAGTCCAGCATGGCTTGGGGGGTCTCTGGACCTGGAGGTACTCCAGGAAGTGTCCCCAGGGATGCAGAAAGTGGGGGATGCTGTCACCCCCGAGGAACCCCCCCAAAACCAGCGGGGTAGGGTGGGTGGTTGCTGGTAGCAAATTCCCACTAGAGAATCACTGCCTTTGTGGGTACGGGTGACCCAAGGGAGCTCACCGCTGTCGCTGCTAGTCCTAGGGCCGGCTCCAGAAGGTCATTTGCTCATTTGCTGATCATTCTGTAATTTTAATTCTCCTTCTAGGAGATTCGAGGTCATTTGGTAATTTTTGCTTAAGTGGGTTTAGGTTTTTTTTTCTTTGTTAACCCCTTTTTGCCTGGAAGTGTGGCTGGCTCTGACCTTCCAGTCTAGCTGCCTGTGTGGGGCAGTGTCAGCAGCATCTGCTTTAATGATGATGGGTCTCTGACTTTGGAGGATGAAGTGAGGGGTGCTGCTGGGTTCCAGCCCTGCAGGACCCTTCACCAGTCCCACACTTCCTTCACCCTTGGAACAGGTGTGTAAAAAAAGAAAAAAAAAAAAAAAAGAAAAAAGGAAACAACACAGTAATTTTTTTCTTAGGATGTAAAACATTTGAATATTATCTCCACCCTGATGGCAAATGTTTTTCCTTCATCTGTGTCTGCTTCCCTGGGAGAGTTTTGTTTCTCTGTTTGTTTCTATATGAATTTTAGACACTGAGCTGAAATTCCTCCTGTCCGGTACTGTATGTTTGAGCCCAAGCAATGTGAACTGTACAGACCAGCAGTGGGAAGGGGGAGCTGGTGACTGCACCTGGGAGAGCCGTGGCTTGGGACGGCATTCCCAGTTGGTGTAGGAGTGGGAAGTACTGCGCCACAAGTTGGGAAAATGAACTGTCTGCTGTGAATTCTCGGTTGGAAATGTGGAGAGGAGTTTCCATTAGATAATGTTTACATACCTCACCTGACAAACCTTTGAAAGTGTATATATAAAAAAAGAAAGAAAATAAAATTATATTAAGTTGCTTTAAATCAATATGTATAGCTATAAGAGCTGGGTCATTTGAACTTTGAATATGTATCGATTCTCTAAATGTTGACATTTTGTGAACTCTGTGCTCCTGTCTTTTATTTCATCCTAGCCTATGGAAAAAGTTGTGTTCTTGTTCCAGGTAAAAGGTCCCTGACCCAGATCTGAACTCCTCAAGGATTCCCACCACCTTGTTTTCTTTTCTTCCTCACTGTCAGTATTCACCCTATGAGCTTTCTAAAGGTCCGTATTTTATTGCCGCTTATTAAACGTTTCTTTGATATCAATGTTTGTTTGGTGTGATAAGTGGGGAAGACTGAAGGTGAGTGAGTGCACGAGGTAGGGCACAGCGGGCTGGCACCCTCCAACTGCCACCCACTCCCTATGGAGGGGGCATATAAATGCCTCTGTGGGGTTTCAGTGCTCCCATACCAGTGCCTGAGCTGTGGCAGAGTTGTGTTTGTGGCACCAACAGTGCAACCTCAGGTGGTCCTGAGGACTGCTGCCCAGGCCCCTCTACCCTTCCCCAGAGAGCTACAAGTGCCTGTTTTCCCCTGGAGCCATTCCATCCCCACGGCGGGCACTGACCCTTCAGCTTCCCACGTGCAAGACCCTGGCAGTGAGGGCAGCTGTTGCAAGGCATTGCACGGATAACCCTGTCTGCTCGTCCCTGCACCATGGGGGCAATGCATTGGCCAGAGCTGCTCCAGGAGTAGGAAATCATCCCCCAAGGCACAACCAACCCTTTCCATCCTGGGCTACCTCCTCACACTCTCAGCAGCTCCCAAGAACCAGCTTCTCCCTTCTCCCCAGCAGGAAAGAAGAGGCCAAGCCTCTGAATGAATAAATGTCATGTTCACATGGAAGACAACATAGACAATACCAAACACCTCCTAAAACAATACAGCCTCTGCCAGCGGAAGGATGCCCAGCGCCTCCCTCGCCAGCCTAGTACAAACCAGCGTCTTCAATAGTGACACACACAAACCCCACGGGCCAAACAAAGCCACTGTCATTTTCCTGCCCAGTAGCATCTGTAAACAAAAAGAAAACATCATTTGTTGACCCCAAACATATAAAAATACTATAACAAAATGAAATACAAATATATATTAGAATCTGTAAGTATTCTGTATAAAGAGATACTTTAGCGGTTAGCATACAGCAAGAACAGAAACACAACACAACCAAGCCCTGGGTGGGCCACAGGCAAAATGAGACGCATCCCAGCTCCTCTGTGTGGCAGAGGAGCTCCCATGGAGAGAGCATTTGTGGCAGAAACACATCCCCGTTGTGGTGGAGATGCCCTGGATGCCAGTGGTGAGCAGGGACGGGGACAGCACCTGCAGAGCTGGGTGTATCCAGTGGAGGTGCCTGGAGCCCGGGCACAGCTGGCAGTGCAGACCTGAAACCAAAGTGCTGGAGCGGTGAGATGAAGAGACCCAGGACTGCAGCTCTGGGGTGAGTCTGTCCACAGGGGGATGTGGTGTTTCACTGTCCAGCCATGTGCAGTGTCCCAGGTCGGGCCCACACTATCCTTGGCCCCCACAGTTGTAGAGGTGATGCTGCTGTGGATGTTGGGTGCCTGCAGTACCCCGGCAGGAGGTCCCAGTGTGCCCCTGCTCCCACACCAGTCCAGCACATGCCCTGGCACTGTGGGCTTTGGAGAGATGCTGGGTATGGGCACTTGAGTCCAAGAGCTGATCAGTCATGCCCTGGCAGTGGTGTTGGCTCCAGGCTTGCAGGTTTGGACATCTCCAGCCTCTTCACCTTGGCACACACAAGACTGAGGCCCCGGTGATGGGCAAGCCAAACCTGCATCCCAGCAGCCTCTTGCTCCTGCTGGCTGGGGCAGCGGCACACGGGGGCACCTTCGCCCAGCTGCAGGCCTGCTCCCCTGGGACAGAGCCTGGAGAAAGGGGATTCCTGTGCTGCCCTCACACAGCTCCCACCTCTGGGCAGAGCCACCTGGCTGAGCCAGGAGTATGTGGGGCCCTCTCCACAGGAATGGCACAGTGCTGGCCACATGGCACAGGGCAGGTTGGCATGGGAACCCTCAGGGACATCTGTGCACTGCTGCCTGTCCTCCATTCATTGTGCCTGGCACTGCCCTGGTCCTGGTCCACCAGTGTGGCCCTGATGTGACCACAGTGATGTGACCACAATGACCAAGTGTGCCCATGCATTGTAGAGCCCATCCAGCATGCACAGACTGGGGGTGTCACCAGAGGGTCAGGCTGGGGCCACAGAGCTGGGGACATTATCTGGGGTACTTAGGGCTACAGCACTCTGCAGGGAGAGAGGCCAGGGCTGCTGGAGGAGAGGACAGGAAACCAGGTCTGGGCTCACCAGGACTGCAGGACGGTGGCTACACCACGCAGCCCACTGTAAGCCATGGCTTGCCATAGATCACAAGGCTCTGCCATGGCAGGCCTCCCTCCTCCTGTCACACATGTTGGAAAAGCCCTCAGATCGCTGGGCTGATGCAAGGGACAGGGCTGCCAGGGAGGAGACTCACCCAGGATGCAGGCACTGCCCTCCATGGCTGTGGGGCTTCACTGGCAGGGAGGCAGAGTGCCACAGGGAGAGGTCAGGGCAGCTAGGCAGGGTGCCCACTCCATATCCACATATCTGTGTAGCTGCAGTTCTTAAAAAAATTCTCTATCTACACATTTGCTTTGTTTGTGGGGTTTTTTTTTCTTTTGTTTTTCTTTCTATTTTTTTTCTGTTTTCTTCCCAATCTTCTAGATGCACCAGCTCTACCCTCTGCTGGGCTCCTCAGATGCAGCTGCAGTTCGGAACACCCAGAGAGCAGCACCATGCCCGCAGTGTAAAGTGAGGTCCTTGGCTCGGGGGGTCTCCCCGCCAGCCCCCCGGCTCTGCAGGGCCGGTGGCTGCTCACAGGCACTGGCTGCAGCCACACTTGCTGGGCTTCTCCACCTCCTCCACAAAGGTGGCACCGTTGCTGCACTCAAAGGCGTATTTCCTGCGCCGCAGCCGCAGCCCGGTGCAGCAGCCGGCGTCAGGGCTGCCGCAGGTGCCCCGGCATTCCACCCAGGCCACCGGCCGCGTCGTCTGGCAGATGGCGTAGCCGCGCTGCACCTGGTGGTAGTCCCGCACCGGCTCCCCGCGGCACTCCGGCTCTGTGGGACGGTGGGACAGCAATGGTCAGCCTGGTGCAGTGGCGTGGGGCTGCCTTCCCGGGACACCCCCTCCTCAGCACCTACCTTGGTCACAGAGGGCTCCGGTGTAGCCGTCGTGGCACTCGCAGGTGGGCTGGCCGGCTGGCGTGAGGTGGCAGTGGCCATGGACACAGGGCTGGTGGCGGCAGGGGTCGGGCGGCTCGGCAGGCTGGTTGCAGAGCGCGCCCTGGTAGCCCTCGTGGCACTGGCAGCTGTAGGAGAGGGCATCAAGGGGCAGGCATGCTCCGTGCACACACCTGTGGGCATACACTGCTGTCAGGACCTGCTGGTGTGCCACCAGCATGCACAGCCCACCAGCACTGAGCACGGCCTGGCTCTGCACCAGCGCTGTACTGCGACTGGTACGGCACCACCTGGTACAGGACAGCCACCATGGCACAGTACAGGTGTGGCTCTGGCATGGCACCAGCACAGAACAGCCTGGCACAACTCAGTGCTAGTGGCACGGCAGGGCAAAGTCACGACAGGGCACCACTATGATGGCACAGGACTGGCACCAGGAAGCAGCCACAGGGCAGGGTGGGCAGGCAGTGGGGTAAGGGCACTCACTTGTGCCCCTGGCAGGGCCCGCCGCGGGGCTGGTCGCAGTGGGGCCCGTCCCAGCCCGGCTCGCAGTGGCACACGGGGCCCTGGGCGCCCGAGGGCTGGCAGATGCCGTGCAGGCAGTAGAGCTTGCGGCAGGGCTCGCAGCCCGGCACCACCCCCGGCGTCATCCGCGTCTTGGTGAAGTCCTGCAGCTCGTTGTTGATGTAGAGGTTGCGGATGCATCCGTGGAAGCTGGTGCCATTGAGGAGCTGCCAGAGGCGGAAGGCAGCCGAGTTGACATCCACAGGCATTCCTGGGGAGAGCAGGACCATCAGCGCACCCCGATGCCCCCCCATGCCCTCCATCACCCGGTCCCTGTCCTACCTCCTACGTAGAGAGGAGCCTCACTGTTCAGCGTGTAGTGCTTGCCCGAGTTGTCCATGGTCATGGGGCTGCCACCATCGATGGACAGGTTCACCATCTGGTCAAAGGTCACCAGCTCCACGGTGTGGAACTGCCCGTCGTTGATGGTCTCAGCACTGGCAGGGATGGCTGGGTCACCGAGGATGCCCCCAGGCCAAAGCAATGGGGGTGAACATCCCCAGTGAGTGGAGAAGGGGTGCCAGGTACCTGTAGATGGCCGAGCTGGGGTGGGTGCCAGGGTCATAGCTGACCCTCACATGGCCCTGGTACAGCTCCACAGCCATGTGGTCGCTGTCACCATTGTACAGCAGGATGCCATTGCCTTCAGCCGTGGAGACCTGCCAGAGAGAGAGGTGGGAGCCCACATCCCTGGGGCAGACCCCCACTGCCACCCCTCAATGCCCCCACGCCCCCCTAGCCCTCACCTGAAGGGTGATATTGGCCCGCGGCCAGTCTTGCAGGTCGGTGAACTGCAGGTACGTGTCACGGTCCACAAAGTTGACGCTCAGCAGCTTCTCACATTTGGGGCCACCAAAGCCAGGCAGGCACTGGCACAGGGCGCGGGCACCCCGCTCCACACACGGGGCCCCGTTCTGGCATTCAGCTCGCTCACAGAGGCCAGGCTGGCCAGCGGTGTGGGGCGGCATCTCGCAGAGCTGGCCACTGTGGGGCCGAGGTGCTGCTGGGCTGGGGGCTGGGAAACAGCCCTACACCCTGCCCAATGCCCCACAGGGCTCTGACAGCACGCCCCTGATCTGGGGTCCCTGGGGAGACTCTCCCAGACACTGGCATCAGAGGGATGCCTGGATGCTGAACTGTGCCTGGGGTCCCTCCTCAATGATGCTGGCTCCCCCCAGCCTCCACCCACAGAGACACACACTCCCAGCCTCACTCCTTCCTCTCACACTGAGGATGGATGGATGGATGGATGGATGGATGGATGGATGGATGGATGGATGGATGGATGGATGGATGGACGGACTTGGTATCCAGGACTTGTCCCTTCTGCACAGTGGCAATAACCATCCCCAGTACCCCAGGTGTCCCAGGTGTTCCTGGTGGTACCTGTAGCCCTCGGTGCAGAGGCAGGAGTAGCCATTCACCTCATCCAGGCAGCGGGCGTTGTTCTGGCACCG